AGTACAATATCCTGATCCCCTTCCTCATTTAGAAGTTTATGAAAGTAGGTCTGCCATCTCCTCCTAATCTGGTCATCCCCTAACAAAACTTTGCCGTCCTCATCTTTTATGCACCTCACTTGGTCCAAATCCCGAGCCGTCCTCTCTCTCACCTTAGCGAGTCGGAGTAACTTCTTCTCCCCGCCTTTGTTCCCTAGTTCCTCATACAAACGAGCAAAAGCTGCCGTCTTTGCCTCCGTCACTGCCATCTTTGCCTCCTTCCTAGCTACCTTATATCTTGCAATGTTCGCTCTCTTCTCCTCCTCTCCAGTGCTCCCCACTAACCGCAGGTAAGCCACCTTCTTCGCTTCCACTTTACCTTGTACAACTGCATTCCACCACCAGTCTCCTTTGTGACCACAAGTGCGGCCTGAAGATACCCCTAACACCTCTCTTGCCGCCTTCCTTATATAGTCCGCCGTCGTCGACCACATAGTGTTTGCGTCCCCACTACTTCTCCAAGCTCCCATTGCCGACAACCTTCCTTCCAACTCCTGGGCTTTAACCTTAGTCAAGGCGCCCCACCTAATCCTCGGGCAGCCTCGTACTGACCTCTGTTTCCTTCTTATCATAATACTAACGTCCATCACCAAGAGCCTATGTTGCGTTGCAAGGGTCTCACCTGGGATAANAAGTGACTACCTGTACACCTATTGAATGATTTAACTATTGTGAACTAAAGTAACATCAATTTAGCTAACACCAAAAGGAAAACAGTAGAACGGGAGGTACCAATTCCCGAGAACCAAACCTGTGTTGATTTGCAGCCCTCGATATACTTGCAAGCTCACGCACCGCTTCCCACCGCCCTTTGCTGACGCTCGTCCAGGTTGCTCTCCTTTGCTAGTGCTCGTGCGCCCAACTTGTCTCCAACAACTTTGAGAATTTCCCTGAAAACACAGAAAATACCACGACCCAAAGACCAAAAAGGGCTATCACCGCTACCACTGGTGTAGCACCGAAAGTAACTAGCAGCCGAAATTAACTGAAGAAAAATAACAAGCAAGCTTCTGAAATAGGCGAGGAGATCCGGCAACATAACAACAACAAACCGGTGACCAAACGAGTGCAACTCGATAGCAATGGACAGCGATTCAATCCACCAAATTCCAGAAATTCTTAAGCTAAAATCAGAAATCAAATTAGCAAAGAAACAAAATCGAAAATTCTCTTATTTCTGTTTTTTTTGTTTATTCTTTCAGTCCTTTCTAAAATTTCAAATCTGGATTTTTATTCCAGATCTGTCAGGTTCTAGTGAGGGGATGAGAGGAACGAAGTCAGCGGCAGCTTCCTCAAAGGGGAGGAATCGGGGAAGAAGATAATAATTTTGGGAGAAAGCAGCCCAGAAAGAAAAAAAACAAAAATAAAAGACAAGATCTGAAGGTGAAAAATCAGAATAAGATCTGTATCTTAGGACGAGATCTGCGCATATGCTACGCACCTACCGAGCAAAGGAGCATACAAAAGAGTGAAACAAAATTCAATCAATCAGCACAATCGCAAATGATATATCATTGAAAATGCCAAATTAGACTAAAGATTAAATATCACAACAAGCAAATCAGTCAACTAAATCGGAATCAAACGATTTCAGAAGAAAACCCTAGTAAGGTAGGTGCAAGGAAATTAAGAAAACCTGAGCAACGGAGAAACTAGGGTTTCGACGATATAAGAGATTAACTCACTTGAGAGAAATGGATAGAGAGAGAGCTGAAGGCAACGAGCCTCATTACTTAGTATTCATCAACCCATCCAATTCCCTCCTTCAAAAGCTCCGCTTTCGCTACCTCAGTTCACCGCATTTTTAGAGTTAATGCCACCGTTACCGTCGAGTCCCCGTCGTATTCCGCCACTGGCGGCGGAGATGACACGCGGAAGCTGCTGCTCCAAGTGAAGGACCTGTCTGCTGTGATAGCTGAATCGAGACAGCCCATTCTCAAAGGCGTTAACCTCACTGTCTATGAAGGCGAGGTGTTTATTCTGGTTCCTCCGTCTATTCTTCCAAATTACTCATTAACTACACTCTTTTTATTTGGAACCAGTTAATGTATTGCAATTTCCTTATTAGTTCGTTTTACAAAGAATGATACATTGCTAAACGGATCGGATTTCTACAATATGCATGCACCACTTAAAAAAAGGAAAAAAAAAGTATTAAGTGCGAATTGATTTCTAATCTTTTGCGTAAATAACTCTAACATTCGACCAAGTTCACCTTTTAGCCTTCTTGGAACATTGGGGCCAATAGATAATATAAAGATACCTACTAGTGGAAAGACCACGAGTTCATGTGCACCATCGATAGGACATTAAATCCGCCCCTGACATTGCTATGTTAAGAACTAGTTATGCTCTATTTAAAAACTGTTCCGTTTAATGAGAACAACCACACAAATATTATGATTATGATATGTTTAAAAACACAAGTTTTAAAAGTGTTATCGCCACACAATATTGTTGCATGATTAAGACCACAAGTTCCTTTATTTCTTAAATTTCGTGTTAAGTCAAACTACATCACTTAAGTTAGAACTTAGGAAGTACATAATTTCATTTCTTTGCAGTTTTCACTAAGTTTCACCAATTTATGTTCACTTTTTTCAATCATTAGTGACTAATGTATGTATTTCCATAATATATTTTGGTTGTATGGATTTAATTTAGTACGTACTTTGTTGGACCCCTTAACACTTGAAAAATGGGAGGAACTGTATGTATTTATGCGTTGGGGAGATAGTAATAATTAGATGTTATAACAGAATAAAATAACAAGGATAAATGAAATGTTCCTAAATTTTGCAGTTCAATTTAGTAACCCGTGTGATAGGTTTCCAGCAAACTATTGTGTCATTTTCCATTTGTATCACGGTTGCTAGCTGCTTGGACTGCCTCAGTTCTGATGTGATTATTATTATTTGAATTAGGTACATGCTGTAATGGGAAAGAATGGTTCTGGAAAGAGCACTTTTGCCAAGGTTATTACTTTTCTATAATTTCTTTTTGTTTTAGATTGTAATCACCTACTTCTTTTATTACTAAGTTATGAAATTGAGTATTTTGTTTTTATTTTGGATGATAATATTTGGTATCCACCTTTTTCTAGGCCTTAAATTTGCAACTACATTCATTTTTGTACTTTTTCTCTAAGTTCCAGGAACAATATATAAAACGCTTTCTATTGTTGATTCTTCAATTGGCATTAGCCAATGCTTGGCTATTTTCTATCTACAAAATCATGGTTTCCAGCTTATGTTCTCTGAAACTTATAGTATTACTTTATGTATCTTGTAAATGCATCTCACTAAGATACCTCTTTGATGCTGAAGTCAGTAACTACCAGCTGAGATTAAGATAATGCTGTTCTTAGCCATCTATTTATGTTCAATTTCTATAGGTTCTTGTTGGGCATCCAGATTACAAAATTACTGGAGGCAATGTGTCATTTAAAGGTGAAAATCTTCTTGAGATGGAACCTGAGGAAAGATCTCTTGCTGGGGTTTTTATGAGCTTCCAGTCTCCAGTTGCAATACCTGGAGTGAGCAATATAGACTTTCTTAATATGGCATATAATGCTAAAAGGAAAAAACTTGGACAGCCAGAGCTTGGACCAATTGAGGTAGTTATCCTTCCGTTAGAATAAAAGAATTAAGGTCTGTCACCAATAGGAAACTTCTTGTCTTCTTATTGCCGAAGCTAGAAGACTAACAAAAATAATCATTTGTTCTTGTGCAGTTCTATGGGCATATTGCCCCAAAGCTTGAACTTGTGAATATGAAGATAGACTTCTTGAACAGAAATGTCAATGACGGATTTAGCGGTGGAGAAAGGAAGCGCAATGAGATTTTGCAATTAGCGGTATTCCATGTTCCTTGTCTTTCCTGCTTTGTCAGTAACATGGAGTAAATGTTTATTTTTGTGGCTGCCATATATAGTGAGAATCTACTACTGTCAAGGTTCTATATTGTATCCATATAATTGTCTGATGACTGTACTTCAAATTTTTTGAATGATCTTTTGGTCTATTACTGCCTAAAACTCACATATTATGAGAACTTTATCTTTTGATTGCATAGAAAAGGTTGTTCCAGCTCATCTCTAGGATGAAGCGTTTTACTAACAAATGCTTTATAGCTTTCTAACTTTTGTTGGTTTGTCTGCAGGTTCTTGGAGCAGACTTAGCAATACTTGGTGAAATTGATTCGGGTTTAGATGTTGATGCACTTCGAGATGTGGCAAAGGCAGTAAATTGGCTTCTGTCCTTTAAGAATTCTGTGTTGATGATCACACATTATTTGAGATTGCTAGAGTTTATCAAGCCAACCTATATTCATATCATGGTAAGCAAATTCTACTGAACAGAGTTGCTAAGCGATACACAAAATAATAAGGTCGACTATAGAAGTTGGATGTTGATGAGCAGAAAACAGGAGAGTTGAGACTGTAAACTAGGAATCTATCACCTTTGCGCATATTGCTATATATATTTGAAACAAGTAAAAGTGATTGGCTATATGTTTATATGGTATACTGAGGCAACCGGTACATGCTTCTTCATATATCTGCATTCTACTAATCTCACTTACTTTTGTTCGCTCAGAGTCTGGATCATGCAGTGTATAGTATGTGTATCTCTCAAAATTATGGGTTTACATACTAATGATCAGTTGCAACAAACTTGTTTCTGTTCTCTTCTTTACTTTACACACCCTTAAGTTTTTTAGTATCTAGTGGTTAATATCGATTACTTTTCCAGGAGGATGGGAGAATTATCAAGACTGGAGATATTTCAATAGCTGAAGTTCTGGAGAAAGAAGGGTACAAGGCAATTTCTGGCACATAGGATACGTAGTGAAGAGAGGCCCTCCATACAACATTTTTTGCGTTTCTCATCAGCTCTGAGTAAATTTCGCGTTGGGATATCTTGTGATAGCATTGGGTACCCTTCTTGTAAATTTTGTTTCCTAGTCCAGTTATACTTGTTGAGACTTGCTTTTTGGCTAATTGATATGTCAGAGATTAGTCATTTCATCTTCTCAAACACACTACATGATATTCTAGTTTATGATACCATAGGAAAAAAGGGTACCTTTTATTGAAATTTTGAGTTTTGCCACTTTGCTGATTGCTTCTTAATTTGAGTTCATTTAATGCAAAATGCTTAAAGAAGAATTAAAGATGGTAAACACCTTTTAGCTGAGGATCAATTGGTCACCAATGTCCATGCAGAAAACCAATGTGATATTCCTATTAGACAGCGAATTGGTTCTGATTGCTCTCCATATCTAGTTCTATTTGGCAGGTAAAGACTAATGGGTCTTGTCATTTAAAGAAGTTCCGCTTGGTCCGCAGAAGGAAATATGCAGATTGCAACGAGAAGCTTTGATACATACGTTACTCAAAGCACCTGTATATCTGATCAAAGATTTGAATGTGCTCTCTTCATTTACTTTACCAATGCTTGAGTCTTTAAGACCATGTTGGTCAAGCGCAGGCTTCTTGTAAAAGAACTAAAGCAGAAGCATTGGTCGGGTAACTTCTGCTTCTTGGTAGAGGCACCTGTTCATTCTCAGGTGAAGAGCAATAAAAATGCCAGAATCTGCTCGAGTGAGCTAAGACAAAAAAACAATCCCTGAAGGTGCTAAAGAACAACTCGAAATTATGCAACAATAACACTCGATCTTAAAAAATCAAAGAAGTAGGTAAACTAGCCATCATTTCAGGCAACTAAAGAATTTTAACTGCAATCCCATATCTTTATGATGAATATCAACCCATCAGACTTGGGACAACTCAAAGTAGTTATTTTGCTTCTGCCAGTAGGAGCCCCACAAGGTTGCACAATGAAAAAAAGCATGTACGGATTACATTAAGGATTGATGCCTCCAGGGATATCATACTTATTGGTGAACGGCAAACCATTACAGAAAATTCTGAGGGTATGATCTATATTCCTGCCTGTGCATACCAAAATAGCTGTTAACTCAACCAGAGGTAAGGAAAACTTGCAAACTCAACAGTTAGAGCATTGTTAGCCTTTCGATGCTCTACCTAGTACACTGCCTTTGTAAACAACTCCACTGTAAAACCAAAGAGGTAACCAATACAAAAGAGCTTCAGCTTAATCATCTCGAATCACCTTTTTCAAGCTTTTCAATTTCTTCCTGGTGCCTTCTCTCCGCTTCTTGAAGTTCTCTTTCAGCATCCTCTTCATCCTCCAACTCGTCGCGATCTTCGAACTCCTTAGTTGCTGCCATTGCTTTAACAACGGGATCTCTTAGCTCAGCAATTAGACCACCACCAATCCTGTATTCTTCTTCATCACCAATCAGGAAAAGACGCTGGTCCGGTCCTGAGGCCATCGGTATATCTACTGCCAATAATTTCATATCATACTGCAGAGAGAAAAGCAGGAGGCAAAAAGGTTAGCATAAGCATGGCTAGAATGAACATGAAACCAGTCAGATTCTTCTGCTTTGTTTATTTATCTGGTGTTTTAGCAACCAAATCGGGAAGCTTCAAGTTCTGGTGACCTTTCTTCCTCTTTTTTTGGATACTTCAAGTTCTGGACAACTCTAATGAAAAAGTATATCTCAGACATTTAGTTAGAAATACTACACTGTAAATGATCATTTGACAAACTAATATGGCCTTATTTTGTCCAGAGTGTAAAGGTTGGGCTCTAAACAATCCAGCTCCAATTGATTATAAAACCAATTAACCCGAAATTATGCTCACAGCACGAATACTTGCTCATTAAATTTGAAAAGTCAGTTATAATGGGTTAAATCTGCAGCCAAGCCAAGTACTATGACGATTGCAATTTCATATGGATATCTTCTCCTTTTTTTGGGGTCCTTTTCTTATTAGCTGGAAAGATGGAAATATAATGCTCAATAACACTGGATCGCAATATGAGATCCTATATTTCTATTGATAAAGCTCACTAAAATGTCAGTGCAGGCAACCTCAACGCCTCATAGGCTGAGTTCAAGCCTGTTTTTTAACTTATTACTTAAGTTAAAATCAAACTCAACTCAACTATAGTTGAGCTGATTTAGCAGATTACATTTTACACCAAATTTTGATCTTGCCACCACGTGCACTTTAACTAATTCTGATCTTTCTCCCTCTCCCTCTCCCTCTCTCTCTCTCTCTCTCTCTCTCTCTCTCTCTCTCTCTCTCACCCTATCTTATTTATTTATTACTTATTGTTAAGTCTTTTAGTTCATGATGCTATAAAAACTATCCCTTTTAAAGCTTTAAATTTTCTACTTAGGCATGATTAGCAAAAAAAAAGGAAAATTACTGGCAGTTTTGAAGCTCATGATATGTGATATTCAGGTATTAAGGGAAAGTTGCAAAGACACACAGTAAGGCTTCATCATATAAAACTGAAGAAGAAGCTGATTTGAATCAAACCTGGCCTTTCTTGTTCTTGACTTCAACACTTACTAAACCTTTCCGCTCAGAACCTCGTATTGGAAAAATCAGAAAACATCTTTTGCCCCTAAAACGTGGCTTGAAGTTCTTAAGGGTAACACCACCTCCTGACATCACATATGCTCTCAAGTCCGTTCCAGAGAGTGGAGCACCCATAACCTCAAGAATTCCAGCTTCTGTATTAAGTCTTCTCATTGCCATTCTGTACACCTTATCAGGATTGATGGTAAATCTTGAGCGAAAATACAAGCCCTATCATAACAAAGCAAAAGTTTTCTTAACTATAGTTATCAAGAAAAAGTACAGAGGATGCTCGTTCAGCAAGAATTCAAGACATAGAAAGAAGAAGGAAAACTGGGAGACTTCAATCATAGACCATCCACTGTTCAAAGCACTAAACAGTTCCTAAAGAGTTCCAAAAGTAATAACTAGTCCCAACTACCAAGCAGGTAGATGGAATTGGAGCTCCACATAACGTGATGCGCAAGTTTGAATGTTAACTTAGATTGACCATTTCAGACCTTGAAGTTCATGGCCCAAATATTAGATTTGCGAGGTTGACAAGTTCCTGTCAGCGCCTATATTCAATTATTACCTAATAAAGTAAGCATTTCATTGATAACTCTGCCACCATGAGCTTGCTCACATTGCCGTTCCCAAGTCCGGATAAAGGAGGTAGGCTTGCAGCCAGCGTAAAACTAGCCAATTTCATGATGAATCCTCACCACACAAATATCCTAGTTTTTTAAGCATTTCATTGGTAAGCATCCAGAAGATGCAAAGCAAAATACAAGTAAGATTAGCTCTGGTACATGTAAGTTCCCAAATAATTCTCATGGACTAGACATACTCGCAGTTTTAACTTTTTTTCAATCAGTAACTAGTCCTAATAATTTTCTTTTTTCACAAAGAATCATTCCAATTCTCACATTAACTGTTCTTTTATAAGGCACATTATGACATTAATACCAGCAAAGTCACACTGAGGATACAATTAGCACATTCAAAACCCCACCAAGAACAACTCAAACAACGATATAATTTCTAAAATATGCATGCTCATTTACGCATAACATTTATATTTCTTATGCATCAACATCAAAGTGAAAACACCAACAAAAGAGTCCAACACAATCAACTACATTCAAACAGGAACTTAAGAAGAAACTCACAGCAAACGCAACAATGGCGGAGGAAAGAGCAAGGAAGCCATACTTGGCCATGCCTTCAGACAATCCAATAAAAGTAGTAGCAATCCCAAATAGAACCCTCCAAAGCAAAATGCAAACCATAACACCTGCTGCGCCAAATAATACCAGAGAATTCCTCTTCCAAAATGCCTCTATCTGCAACCCCACAGCTCCCTTGTACCGCGTAGCCGTGTCCTTTGCAGCCACAACCGGATTCTTCAGCACATTTTTCCCAAAATTCCCACTCTTAAACGAGAAGTACCTAAACCCTAATAATTTCCTCAAATTACCTTCTGGGTCCAACTTCTTAGTACAAGGGTTTTGCAAAATCCGGGGTAAAGGTGAATACGAAAAATGGGCTCTTTGGGAATTCGAAACCCATGGGTTTATAACGGGTTTTTCGATTATCTTTGGATGATTAGTAAGGAAGTGAGAAATACCACTGGAAGTAGAATTTGGGTTTGAAAATTGAGAGGGTTTTGATGAAATGTACTGATAAATGTTCCTCAGGACGAATTTTGAAGATGATGATTTCGACATTTCCACAGCTGATACTAACTGGGAATAGATTTAGATTCACGTAAAGCACAAACTCAAGGAATATACAATAAGATAATTGTTCAGTAGCTGAATATAGATAGAGAAAGTGGTGCTAAAGATAGAAATAGAAAGTGGGGTTTGAAAGTTACTTGCTGTTGAAGCGTCTCTAGGAGGGGGCAATGAACAATCTGTAGCTCTGAGAAATCTCCCGGTCAGCGGTATTGTCCTCGTCGGGGAATATTTTTGTTGTTTTCATAATAGTACCTTTAAAACGAAATTTTGAGGTTTCTGCCCCTTGTGGTTGGATGAATATCACTTCAGCCCTTACAGAAATGAAATTATATTTCTTGAACATCACTTTTACTTCTTTTTTTCCTTTGGGAAAGATCACTCTTAGCTTCCACTAGAAACTATTATCCGCTGGTTGTAAAAGTGTATAAATTTTTTTATATATATATATATATATATATATATACATATTTTTCCGACTATTATTTTGAGAGCGGTTATACAATATCATTTTTTCATTTTTCTTTCGCAAAGGTAACACGGGGAAGAGGGAGTGTAACTTGGTTATCAGTGGCCAGGAACTCACGGCATTCGCTTCGGAACACTTCCATTCAATTTGTGACATTTTAACTGTTGAATATCATTGCATCAACGTGTATTATTTTCTTAAACTTTTCCCATGAAGCGAAGTATTTTGATGTTTCATAAATATATTAAATATGAGATAATTCACCTTTACACCTTGTTAAGTTTCATTGTTAAAGAGTAGCATGAAGCAGTTGTAGCAACTTATGGGTTTAATTTTGAACCTTCTAATATTATATAATAATAAAAAAATAAAAAAAAATTACCTCTTTATTTGTTTATCTCGCCCTTCTTTTTTTCTTTGATTTTAGATGGTAAAAAAACTAAGATACGTCTTATAAAAAACTAG